CCCTCTCTCTCTCTCTCTCTCTCTCTCTCTCGGTCGTGACGCGCCGGGGCGGGTTATTGCCATGGGCCGAACGGGTACACGCGGTAATTCGCGTGTTCCGCTCGTGGCATCTGGCCTTGAACGCGCGCGGAGAATTCACCGACCGGGACTCGATCGAGCGAGAGAGAGAGAGAGAGAGAAAACGGCCGGCGTCCTCTTCTCCCGAATCTTCTCGGATCCGCGCGGCCGCCGTAGATCGCCGGACTGTGTCAGCCCTCGGTTGCCCTCGGCGGAGCCTCCGCTTCCTTCCCGCGCGCCGGGGAACGAAACGAGATGGCAGGGTGCCGCTCGGAGCGGCGCGCGGACCGCGTCAGGTAGCGACGGACCTGCCGCGGGTCTCGCTCTTGCCGACTCTCTCTCTCGGGTCTCTCGCACCTTCCTTCCTCCGTCCCTTCCGTCCGTCCCCTCTTCCCACTGTACCCTGGACGTAGCGCGGAGCGACTCCGAGCGAGACGGCGGACGTCACGCCGGCTCTCGAGGAGGACGACGGCGATCCGATCGATCTCCTCCCCGCGTCCTCGATATATCGACGCGGCCCCGCGGACCCGCGACGATTATCGAGCGTCGGCACACACGTCCGGCGATTCCGGAGCGCTCGTATCGATCGCATCCCGCGCGCGGCGCTTGTCACTCTCCTCTCCATCGCTATCTTTCGGCAATAAAAGCACGCCCGATTCATGATCTTCGTTCCGGGCGACGGAGGAAGCGGCGGGACGGAGGGCGGAGAGGAGAACGGTCGCGCGAACGCGGCGTCGAGGGGGAGGGGCGGGCGCGACGGGGAGAAAAGACGCGGCGCGCGAGGGGGGGGAGGAGGAGGAGAGACGGTCAAACCTCTTCGTTCCTGCGTTTCGGTGTGCGCGCCTCGTGTCTTCTTCTCTCGCGGGAATTCCCGAGGAACCCGGCGTCGATCCTCCGGCATTCCCTTCTTCTCTCTTTCTCTCTCTCTTCGTCTCGTTTACTCGTTTCTATGCGTTGGACCTTAGGTCTATTGTCACCTCTGTAAAGGCCTGTGTGCACGATGCTTAAACTTTGTCCAAGTTTCGAGAAATGTGTGGCCAATCAACGTGCAGCTATTCCATAAAAGCCGCAAGTCGATTGGCTATACATTGCTCGAAACTAGATTTTGAACCAGGTTCTAGCATCGTGGACACAGGCCTTAAGGGGATGCTGGAGTGACTCTGCA